AATAACGAACTAACTAATTAACTGTAGGCGTATCTGAACACTACAAGACTCCACACGTGTATGTCTACAAAATACTTTTTTTTAAAATATAAAATAACATTTTAAAATCTCGGCAGTCCATATATTTGAAGAAACCAAGGTTACATAAATGTTAAGGATTTCCAGAACAAGGTTAGGACGCTATATATTTTAAAATACACGAGATGTACATACCTTAAAGGAATCAACAGAGAACGGAGGGGGGAAAAGATAAAGATAAAGATTTTTTTTAAAGATTTTTATTCTGAAATCAAGGTTGGGGCAATATAAATTTTTAAACATACCTTCTGTACATACGTATACAAAGTAAATGAAGAATGGAGACAAACACGAAGCAATAGAAAATTACAAGAAACAGGGCATTACGTCAACGCATTAAGAAAGCCGAAGCATTAGGAAATCAAACAAATTTATTCTTCTTGTAGACGTGTAGAATTGAGATGTTTACCAACTTCGTTTCTGTTGCAAATATAGGCGTCTCTCGGTCTGGGCAATAATTAACTCTATCTAAATTAGGTTGCCAGTTGGTAGCCTGTCGGTATAAAAGTGCTGGGTTCAAATCCTTACAGGAGAATTTGAAGTAAAAATTGACCTTGGCTTCCATGTGAGTCCAGAATACACATAGACAAACAAACAAATTCACGTAGGAAATATAGCTTGAAAAACGGACAATTTTAATGGCAGTTATTTTACACTACTCGGCGCAACGATACACACACACGCAGACACACTCTCACACAACGAAAAATGGGAAAGATATGGGAAATAGAGAGAAAACAAAAAATAAAGATACACTAATGAAAAGGCAGATATGCACACAGACACACACATAGTAGAGAGGGAAAGAGATGAGAGATAGAAAGGGAACAAAATAAGAGAGGAAACAAGATAAGAGAGGGAGCAAGATAGGAGAGGGCACAAGATAGAACGATACACTAACAGAAAGACAGATACATACACAGACACACACAAGCAGTCACCAGAATCTTGGTGCATATGCAAGGGTACCTGGAGAGCCAACAACCCCTCCTTATAATATTTGTACAAGACTAAGTGCTCCCCCTCCCCCAACATTGTATAGACGTTCTTTACTTTAATATTTCTTTATCTCACCTTGTCGTAACATCTCAGATATTTATTTTTGAAATTTTTTTTTTTTTTCTGTGGTTTGTTTTGTTTGTTAGATCATATTCACTTACCATTCAGCACATTATCATTATCATGGCAAACCTTAAAAAAAGCGGAGGCCCCTGCCAACCATCCCCCCCACCCACCCCGCCCCTTACTCCCCATGTAGAAAATGTGTTAGAGCACAGAGGCCACCAGCACTCCGAGCACCACACTTCCTCTCCCGTCCCCATGTTTCGTTTGAGGCAGGTAGATAGGTAGGTAGGCGTTTTGCTGGAAGGTAGGCAGGCCACCAGTAGTCATTTTGAGGAAGGTAGGTACCTGATTTCTCCCGTAGTAGGCGTTTTGCTTGAGGTAGGTAGATAGGTGAAAGGTAGGTAGGCGTTTTGCTGGAAGGTAGGCAGGTGTTTTGCTGGAAGGTAGGTAGGCGTTTTGCTGGAAGGTAGGTAGGTGTTTTGCTGGAAGGTAGGTAGGCGTTTTGCTGGAAGGTAGGTATGTGTTTTGCTGGAAAAAATAGTCACGCTCAACCAGCATCCCCGAAGGGAGAGAGAAGGTTATAATTGTGACTAGGCTATGTGCGCCAGATAAAATGGCTATTAGCATTACACGCCACAGAGAGCCCAGAAAAGAACTGCTGCAAATACTGTACTGCCTAGGGACGAAGTCGTCTGCCGGCGAGCCAGTGGGCGACCCGGTCGCCGATGATGATGGGCCTTTGTGGTGGCGATCCTGCACTCAATTAGACATGCACACACACACACTGACGCACACACACACATACACACACACATTGACACACACACATTGACGCACACACACTGACACATACGCGCTACGCAGCCGTAATATTCAACAGCTGGTTATAATCACAGAAAAAAGGAATTGGTGACGGGGGGGGGGGGGGTATTTTCTCAGCCGGGTTAGTTCGACGTTAGTCTCCCCAGATCCCGCCGTTTATCATCATCTGTCCACTAGCTCACTGCTGATTGGTAGTTCCTGAGCCCCGTGACCTACACACACGGTTACGGGGGTGTTCAGCAATGCCGTTGATATCGCGTGATGTATATTTCAGCACGCCAGAGCTTTTAACGCTCCAAAAACATGGAGAACCTGGGTCTAATACACCGCCCCCCCCCATCCCCCTAGAGAGTTCTACAACCTATGGTTCAGGCATTCTCTTTCTTGGAATGAAAACGTAAATCCAAGACATCGCAGAAACCAAACAATAGAGCGGGAGACGCCCATAACCTTCAGAAAAGTCGATCAGCCCAACAAACTTGTAAATGAAAAGTGACCTACTCTATTAGGGGAGACTAACATAGAACTAGCCCTTAGCCGTAATATTGAACGGATGGTTCCGAAAAAAAAAATATAAAAGCTTTGTATTGTATTCTTATCAGGCATCCATTGTTTATATCACTCGGTGCAGCGACAGATAGCCAGACAAACAAAATGACACTCGCCACGTGTGATCTTTCAGCCTTCACGTGAACATCAGTCAACCAGAACATGTACTGAGTGCACGTGAAACAGATGCATCAGTACTCACACACACACCCACACACACTCACACATACACATACACACACACACACACATACACACACACACACATACACACACACTCTCTCACTCACACACACATACACACACACACGGTCACTCCACACATGCATTATGCAAGTTATTTTCAACTGAATCAAGAATCTCAAACTGGGACCCACTCTAGATATCTGAAATTAAACATTTGGTAAAACACAATCAGCGCTCCCGTTTCCATGACAATTAGTTGTACTCCAGGGAAATTAGAAATCTGTGCATGAAACCTGTAGCATCGGGTACAATGACAACGACTGTAAAGCAGAACTGCTTCTGCTATATATTTTTACGATGAGGTTTTCTCATTTAAAACCGAATGTAATCCGTCGTCTGTCTGTGGATTATTTTTTTTTTTTTTTTTTTTTTTTTTTTTTTAACGTGAACTGATCTGATCAAAGACCGTTTAACTTTCCACACATATCTGAGAATGTTGACTACCCGATTAACCACCGTGATTACAGGGTTGTGTGTATCTGCAGAAATCAATCAGCCAGGTGCTATCCTAATAAGGAAGGTTGAATGCATTGGTTCGCTAGATTATGCATGGAGGGACGTATGAGAGAAAGAGAACTACGGGTTGTATAATCAGAGTGCTACGGGAACAGTTAGTATCTAAACCTTAAGACATTTGCTGCAGGAGACGGAGCATCTATGGGTATGCCCGGTGTGCTATGATGTAGATTCTTAAATCAGTAATTAGTATTTTAGGCTAGGTGATCTGCGATCAAAGTCATTTAAAAAATCTGACTCGGTACGGGTTCCAACCCATGACTTTCTGACCGGCAGACGGGCGTCTAGCCAAGCGGTTCTAAAACTGGGTGCCGCGAGTGTATGCCAGGGGTGCCGGGGCAATAATCAAGAATGTCTCAAAATCTGCTTGAGATCAACGAAGGCAGCAGTTTAAAACAGAAATACCGTGAAGAAAGCCAAGAAGAGTCTGGATGCAGGTATTTTCAGAAAACAATGTTATTGGCAAGGCTGCCGTGCATTCTCAACGTACGCTCACATTTTAAAAAAAAAACAGATACACAAATATAAACTTTTCTGGGTCAAGTGATTTGAGGGTAAAATTAACTAAACTGTCCATATACATAAAGGAAATATTGAAACATCCATACAAACAGTTTCATTGATCTCTTTAAAGACAACTGAACATTAAATGTGCAGTTCTTTTTCTTTTTTCCTAAGTATTTAAACCGTTTTAAAGGGTAGGTGTACCGCCAAAAATGTGTTTCCCGACAAGGGTGCCGAGGCGAAAACAGTTTGAGAAACCGCTAATCTAGCCAGTGCGGCACTGCGGCTCTCGCGGCTCGCCAAGAATTCTAAGACATGTGACTTGATTACACAGGATGACTCCAGTGTGCATCTTGTTTTGCCGTATGGCTAAAAATTGTTGGCATCACCTTTGATCGCCTGACGCTGTTCTTAAGGTGCATGGCTCTTGGCAGTTTGAGTTATAAGAAGATCTAATTGTTAACAACAACAGGGGGAAAACGGTTTTCATCACAAATCAGCCTGTCACTCTTCTCATTATCATCTTGTCCTTCACCTTTTTCTCAGCGTTCACCGGCTGTAAACTCTAGGAAGAGTCCACTCCTGTACTTGCACTTGACCCAGAACTTGAGTTTTGTGTGCATATCCGTTTTGAATAACTGGTTTATTGGTATGCAGACAGACTGTTGGTTCCTTGCCTCCGAGGCAGACGCACATGGACTTCGAAGAAAATACCTATAATTAGTCGAATCCCCCGGCGTTAGTATGCAGTAGATCTATTCTTTGCCTGAAACCCACATGGGAATCTCGTTATGATAATACACACGTCCACACACTTTGACTTTGACTGAAACCGTCTGACTCAACAACAACGCATCCCCGCCAACAGCAGTCAGCTACACATAATTCTGACATCCCCCACACAATTGGGAGAGTGTGCAAGTCATCCGTGAATATCGACACCCACGAATCCTACAATATCCGTGATGTCCCCAAGTCCGTCATGAACTTCATGCGACTCATTTCCCCAGTGGCTCATTCTCCATTCTCTTTTAGTGGCCCCCGATGTCCCCAGTGACAACCTGTCAACACAACATGAATGCCCGTGTGTACCCATGTTTCACACATACTTGGCTTCATTAACTTTTTATACTCCACAGTGATTTCGTACACAACGATGATGATGAGGATGGAGGAGGAGGAGGATGATCATGTTGATATGAAATAAAACAGAACCCTACCTGCACTGTTGCACCTGCAGCATACCAAAACGAGCCACTGATGCCATACTGAAATATAAAATATATATGTTAATTTTAATAGTCTCTGTAAAAACACCAACACAATGTGAAGTAGAACTGGTCGGTTTCACATAATCCCAAACGTGAACAGCAAATTAACGTTGCGACTAGACGTTCCTCATCAGCACATGACACAGGCGGACATTGATACAATTACAAACAAGCTCACAAATTTATCTATCTCTAAATTAAGGTCTCTCACGCCTTCTCCTACTTCGTGTTTACCAGCTGTAAAAGCAGACGGACAGATTTGGTAGTTTGTTCACTTTTGTATTTTAGGTAAACCTCCAGCTCGTCTGTTTTTACTACAAGCTCTTTATGGGTCAGTAGGCTTTTCCATTGTCTCCCTCTTCTCCACAAAGGAGCGCTAGAACTCACAAAGGGGAAGGTTTCTCATTGAAATAACACTAACACGTCTAGACAGCAGAGGCTGTGAGTCACTTGTGATGTAGGGAACTTGTACTGGATAGGAAGTTAAGATGAAGTTATAGTCGAGACGATCGACTTCATTGCACCGAGTTTTATCCTATCTCCTTAAGTTAGTAAACTGGACGACGAAGCCCTGAAACGAACCCACTAGGCAAACGGCTTGACCACTTTGCCATGGAGACCTCTAATGGACAAGAAGAGGAGAAGTATGGAGCGGGCTACGGCACAAGTGTTAAAAGTTTTAGATACAAAGCTGTGTTGGATGTTAAAAGTCTTAAATAAGAGAGAGCCAATTAGATAAGACAGCTCCCGAAATACTTGCGGAATCTGTCATATGAATATGCATACTACATACCCTGGGTGTACCAACTGGAGCAGCAAGACAGGAAAACCACAGGAGAGCCACCGGTCGTTACATCAGCCAGAATAGAATGGGAGTTTTAGCCTAAAATCCCTTAGTGACATACTCAGGAGGAGATCAAAGTAGTTTCTGTCATGTCTGATACGCGATGAAGATGATCTTAAAGTGAACAGTGAACAATGCTTCTGTAAAAGCTTCTATAACCAACAAACGAGCTGAAGATCTTAAATAATAACCTCTTAAAACACAGCATTCGGTGAGCCGGAGAAGCGCATTAATTAGATACTTCTGGTCCGAATGTCTTGGGTTCAAATCCGTACCTGAAAGGATTTGAAATAGTGACCTTGACTCCCAGGTCTATGTGAGTGAAGTAGAAAGATTGAAAGCGGGTTACCCTTGTGACAGACTGTGACAGATTCTGGTACAACAGCCTCAGCTGTATTCAGTTAGCACTATTATTCATGTATATAATGAAATAAAATCTGTTAGGAAGTAGCCCGTATTTTAATTTCAAAATCTGCATTTATCTGGGTCCCTCTCATCTCTATCTCGTGATCCTCCGTCATCACTAGCATCATCATGATTCATCTTCTTCTTCTTCGTTTCTTCTTCTTCTTCTTCTTGTCCTCCTCATCCTCCTCCTCTCCCTCATTCTCCATTTGTTTCTCTTCCTTATCCTTTTCTTCTCCACAACCTTCTCCTTCTCTCATCTTCCTCAGTCTTCTTCTTCTTCCTTCTCATCCTACTCCTTCTCCTACTACCTTATCCTATACCTCATCATGTCATTATTATTAGTATTATTACTCCTTCTCCATCCTTTCTCCTCTTTTTTTTTCCTCCTTCTCTTCTTCTCTTAATTTTTTTTCTTTCTTTTCCCCCCTTATCCAGCTCCCCGGTGTCCCCTCTATGATTAAAACACAACAAAATACAAACCTTAGCAGCGACGGTGGATGACTGCAGCAAAGTGGCCGCCCAGGTCCACTGCGAGACAATGGTTGTGGCTGTCAGTCCGGCATTCACTTTGCCACCGGCGTCGAACGACGTGTCCACTTGGTCATCCTGATGGACACAATTATGTGAGGTTAAACTCCTGGACAGCGGCGTCCGTGGCTAAGGCGTTGCGAGTCCGACTCGTAAGCCAGCATACCGCGATCGAAACCTGCGTGGGCTGCGTGGATTTTTATCGTGGTATGGGACGTCGCAGGTCGACCCAGCCTAAAATGGGTACCAGGATGGGCTGTCCTGGGAAAGTAAAGACAACCGGCGTAATGCTGACCACATTACCCACAGAGTGCTGATGGTCTGTAAAAATATGGGACGCTCTGCCCATATGCCCGATGCGCCGAAAGGCGTGAAAAGGGAACTTTACTTTTTTTTTTTTTTTTAAACTCCTGGACACGTTTCTTTGCGGCTTAACTTAAGATTTATATTATAATGTTAAAATGTTAGTTGCGTATCCTTTACAGATTATTGCAGAATCAAGCACAGCTTTTGTGTCTCTTGTGGTTTTTCTAGGCGCAAAGCTGGTATCGAAACCGGCACCCAGGCATTACGAAGCGCGTTCGCAACGACTAAGCCACAGAATAGATTATAATATGTGGTTACAAATGTGATTGGTAACCTGGGTAATCTTAGTTTCAGCTTCATAGCACACGAGTCACCCCATGGTTGCTCCCCTCTTGTGCCAACGAAAAACACACAGAATGTTTGCGGCAGTCGCTTGTGGAAAGATTGACAGACTGCTGTCTCAGCATATGCACTAGACATACACACGCATTAAAAGCGTACGGTAGCTATCAGAAGTGCTAACACAAACAGTTTGACATTAGAAATGCCGTTGATCATCGACGGAAGCAGAAGTCGCCAACAGATCAACAGCTGCGCACGCGATCAATATTAATCACATAAGGGCACCACCAATATTGCCGCGACAGGCCACGCGCCATTTTCTAAATCTACAGTTCACAATACCACGTTAGTCACAGTCGAAAAACATTCCAAATGAAATCCGCAGCTCACAGTGTCGCGCCATGCACTCAACTTAGTAGCTGGCGCGACGAAACGGTATCCTTTCAGTCTACAAATGGATCGAAAATGCAACGGCCACCGTCTGGCAGAAGCAAATAATTTGCCTCGACGGGAAACAGTAACCGCGCCTGGCGTCCATTTTGACCGGAAGTATGATGTGATTAAACAAATGTGATTAAACTCCGTGTGGAGACGGATAATACATGATTAAACGCTTGATAGGGAATCGCGGTGGTGTAGCGGTTAGACGCTCATCTGCTGATCGGAAAGTCGTGGGTTCGAGTACTGATTTTTTTTTAAATGACCTTGACTCCCAGGTCGACATAGCCTTGAAAGGGTAACAGGTACAGTCCTGGGAAATAGAGTGGCCGGCGTGATGCTGACCATATCATCCCCCAAGTGCTGTTTGTTCTATAAAATGTAGTTCTAGCCCTATATGCCCAATACGCCTGAAGGTTTGGAAATGGGTCCTTTTTTTCACTTAAACTCCTAAGAGACAAAATAACTTGTTAAAGTCAGGGACATGTTCTGTTATCACGAACAACGTCACTGAACATTGGGCAATTCCATGGGTGCTCAGTCCTCCGATGCAGCAGCCGCTCCAAAGGTACTAATTGTTCCCATAAGAGGTTGGTTATAATGTTTTCTATCTCGGCCTTTCAGGTGGCATATACGAGCTTCACTGTGTTTAATCTCCTATGTCACGCAATTGTGTAAGTGTCAGAGATTCGTCATTGTCCACTAACCCAGTGCGTACAGTGTTGATGATAACTGCTCCGGTTATTCAGGACTGCCAATGGGATTTTTATCAAATACCAAGCTAAGCTGACCAAGGAACCCAGCAATACATAAGCAAAGAACAAGAAACAAAAGCGAAAATCCAAGAATTAAAAAATAAGTAAACATTTTATAGTTACGAAACGAAACATTTACCCACTTATATAAAAGGAAATATTTTTTTTTAAAACCCAGATTCCAAAATCGGAACCCAAGACGTCATTAAAAAACCCAGATCATAAGGTAAAAGCCCAATATTGGTAGCCCTGCACTGTCCATGCCTTTTACTGTCTTCTTGTATTGTTTTTCTCATCCTTTGTGCTTCGCGCTTCACGGACCCGTCTATGTAGATGATGGTGTCCTCGGGGTGTGAATGTTGATCTGTCAGTGCCCTTACCGCTGTGTCTTCGGCTGCAGGAATCTGATCCCTACAGTACCTTTCCAGTACGATGACAACCTTAAAGATTCTTTTTTGTGAATCATCTCGTCTAAGTCATTTACCCACTGAATAAAATTTTCACCATTGGCCATCCAGGATCGGCCCATTTTGGGACGCACAGAAATGATTGAATATGGCCTAACTCATGATAAAGATTGTTATATATTGTTAAACTTCTGGTGGAGATTGTTGAATGTGGGTAAACATGTTCATAGAAATATGTTTAAGGGGGTATATGCAATTACACTGATAGAGATGCCTTATATGTTTTTACACTATTTTTTGAAATGTGTTATACAAGGTCCGACAATTAGGTAATGAGACAGATTTTATTATGGCCAAGACAAAAATGTCATCTTTGAAGCAAAATATGGAATCTAAAGAGGCATCATTCATCTATGATCTGGCCACTTTTCATCGCCGCTCGAAAAGCAGTCAACAAACAAGCTGCCATTTTTTGACCCAGTGAGAGGTACATTGTTACGTAATCAGCACGGAGTAAAAAGCTAACATTAAATTCTTTTTAAAACTCAGAAAAAAGCACCATCGAAACAGTGGAATTGATGCAACCAGTTTTTGGGGATAGTTGTTTATCTTGTGCACACATTTTTAGGTGGTATTCACGTTTCAAAAGTGGTGTGGAAATTATTACTAGTGCACCTAGAGCTGGACACCAAATTACTGTTCGTAATGATGAACTTATTGCAAAAGTCAGAGAACGGATACAAGAAGATCATTGTTTTACTGTGAGAATGATGGCAGATAAATCTGGTGTTAATAGAGAGATCATTCATAACATTTGAGTGCAAGATTTTGGCAAGAAAAAAGTTGCTTGCCGGTTTGTACCACATTCGTTATCTGATGACTAGACACATCAGCGGGTTGAGTACCCAAGAGACATCATCAAAACAAGAATGTTCGGCCTAAAAACAAGTGTGTGTCCTTATCCTCCCACCCTATTCCCTAGATTTGTCTCCCTGTGATTATTGTCTATTCTCAAAATTAAAGTTACGATTGAAAGGACTTTTCTTTAACGATATTGATGACATCCAGAGGGCCGTAACGTGGAATTTAAGGGCCATACTAACAGAAGAACTACAGAGGTCGTTCCAGTGTTTGTTAGATCGTGTCACTTGCTGTATCAATGCACATGGGGCTTACTTTGAATAAGATACAGGTTATATCCTCAACTGTTGATTATTTTAATTTTTATGGAATTAGTCTCATTACTTAATTGTCGGACCTTGTATGTTTTTAAACTACAGATAGAGATGTCTGTTATGTTTTTACACTATTGATGGACATGTATGTTTTTAAACTACAGATAGAGATGTCTGTTATGTTTTTACACTATTGATGGACATGTGTTATACGTTTTTAAATTACTAATCGTGATGTATTATTTTTTATAAACTATTGATGGAGATGTCCTATATGTTTCTGCACTACTGACGGAAATTTATTATATGCTTTTCAACTAGTGATGGAGATGGACCATAGATTTTTAAACTACTGATGGATATGTTTTGAACGTTTTTACATTACTTATGGAGATATTATATATATGGAAACTAGTAATAGAGATGTCTTAAATGTTTTAAACTAAAGTTGGAGATGTATTATATTTTGCCAACAACTGACAGAGTTGTCTTAAATGTTTTAAACTAAAGTTGGAGATGTATTATATTTTGCCAACAACTGACAGAGTTGTCTCAAATGTTTTAAACTAAAGTTGGAGATGTATTATATTTTGCCAACAACTGACAGAGTTGTCTTAAATGTTTTAAAGTGATGATGGAGATGTATTATGTGTTCTTACCCCACTGATGAAGAGTTTTAGTATGTTTTTTTAAACAACTAATGGAGATAAGCTGTATATGAAACGAAGGAAGAGATAGAGGATATGAGGAATAATGAAGAGAATGATGAGACAGAGGTGAAAGATATAGATAAGAAAGAGAGAGAATGTAGAATGAGAAAAAAAAATTTGTAGAAAAGCAAAAAATAAAAATAAGGAAGTAATGAAGTAGGGGGAGAATTTATATATGAGAAATAAATAAACAGAGAAGGAAACAACCGATTAAAAGAGCGATAGATAACGTAAAAGGAGGGAAGGAGGATAGATTTTAAAAAAACCGGTATACAAGAAAAGTTTAGACAAGAAATTCATGAAGAATGAGAGAAACATTAGGTGAAAAGAAGTGAGAGGTAGAAAAGAACCAAAACAGATAAATAGTTTTAAAAAAGAACTGAGCAAAATCTAAACGGGAGAAAAAAAATATAAAGATTACGGATGAAGTAGAGAAGCCCCCGTGTGGGTTCCGGGGCCCCATTGTGGGAAAAACAAGAATAGACCCACTGCCTCCCCAAGAGCATTTCTTAAGAGTCGACTAGTTGGGGAGCTTCTTTTGAAGTCGGAGTGCATCTGCCGGAGAGGCAAGGAACCAACAGTCTGTATTTAAGAGAATGAGATCTGTAAAACTGATGCACACGCAAACACTCAGGTTCTGGAGCAGGACTGCAGTTCAGTAGTGGACGAGCAACCAGAACTTTCCGCCAGAGTGTACAGATGGTGAACTCGAAGAAGAAGTAGAGACGAATGTGATACCATCGAGCCAGGTAGGAAACTGTAGATGCACGCTGTAGAAAATTTTTAAAAAAAACATTGATTTAAAATAAATACTGAGAAAATAAAGTTGAGGGGAAAAAAAGATTAAAGAACAAAGCAGTTTTTTTTTTTAAATTAATCAGTAACGAAAAAAGCGAAAGGAGAGAATATGATAAAGTAGTCAGCAGCATTAGTTCAAGTACAACAGACAAATTAACAAACCTGATCTTTGTAGACATGTTTTCGTATAGCAGTGAACAAAACAGCAACCATTAGAGCGAGGAAGCCGGTCACCAACATAATAATTATTGCCTCGTACATCTCGATGGATGGTTCGATCCCGACTGGGGTCCTGATACCCCAGGAAGCATTTTGGATCTCCCTACATCTCGAGCTGTGGTTCATGTATGAAAATGGCATTGTTCCTGTATCGCACGTCAAATCCAATGGAATTCAGGTGTCTCTGAAATGGCTTTTGGTGACTTGTTGTGTCTTGCTGATTTAAATATAAATCCTTCAAATGTTTATAGTTTTTAATAAAGTTGTGGTTAAGATCATTGTTATTTTTGAAGCAGGAATGTTTCGGCCGATGGGATATCCTGCGTGGAAAAAAACACACAGATAAATATCATAAAATCTCTTTTAAACGAACTCCAAGAACGTTATAGTAAAGTTATATTAATTAAAAATAAACAGTGCTAACTCGGACTAATAATAATTTATCATTGCTGAAACCAAACTTGTATTTATGCTATCCGGGTGCTCTTCTTGAGCATAATTTAACGAGCAAACAGATTGGCTGGTATTGCACTAATGGCTGGTGAATTTACACATGACAAGCTAGATTTCCCTGGCGAAGTGGTCAAATCGTTCGCCTCTCACTCTGAAGGTCGCGGGTTCGCTTTCACGGCTGCGTCGTTCAGTTCACGGGTGCAATTTTTACTGAGACGCCTGTGGATCGTCGCCGGAGCTATGGAATCGTGCTCTGTGCGAAGAAGAGACCGAGCCATATAAGATAAAAACATGTGCAATGAAGTCGATCCACTCAACTGTAACCTTTACAATTTTAGCTAGGTGTGGTCTAGGCACTTTGGGAGCAAAGGAACAACACAAGAGCACGATCAGACCATTAGGTCTACGGAGAATTATACAGCCGGGAATCAACAGGGCAATCTGGTCGACACTCTACACTTTGAGGTAAGGCAAAGTAAAAAAAGGAAAGATCCCTTTCTACGCCTGAAGCGCATCGGGCATATGGGAAAAGCGCCTATATTTTTGGAGACGAATCGGCACTAGGTGGGTAATATGGTCAGCATAACACCGGCTGCCTTTACTTCTCCAGAACATACATACTGTTACCCATTCAATTCTGCGTCGACCTACGACGTCCCATGCGCAGCCAGTAGTGGTTTTTGATCACGGTATGTTGGAATTACGAGAGGAAAGGCCAAACGAACATATAATCAAACTGCTACTGGCAACATCGGAAATGGAACTCATTGCTGGCTGTGGAAGATAAGGATGGAGCGTTTGTGGGAATGTCCCGAATGCTGTGATGTTAGTTCAAGTTTAAACCTTTACACTCGACATTTCTTAAGCTAGTTCATGTTAATCAGGACCTACTGTAATTGTAGATGCAGCGTGCAGCGTGCATATAGAAGTGGTCTGATAATACACAAGATGCCACCAGCTAGTACAGCTCGTGGTGGCGCAATGGAGTAATTTTCGAGTGTCGAAGATAACGGATCTGAAGTTATATCTGAGCTGATTTATCGAATTTTTGACAGGTTTCTTTGCGTCTGTGGCTTGGGCGTTGCGAACGCGCTTCGTAATGCCGAGGGGCTGGGTTCGAAATTGCTGCGAACGATCAGTCTTTTGCTGGTACAGAGAGCTGACCGTTTAGACCCAATGGCAAACTACTGAACGTTAAATGTGCCTAGAAAAACCACTAAAGCCAATAAATGATGTAACGTCCTTTAAAGGATACGCAAATAACTTTAATGTTGGTTCTGCAACGTCCTGTAAAGTATACGCAACTAACTTGAACGTTGGTTCGTAAACGATATGTAAAGGATACGCAACTAACTTCTTGGTAAATCCAGTCTAAAATTATTATCATTACCCTGCTACGCCATTTTATGTCACGAAGAGATCACAGTCTATTCCTTCTTTCCGCTCTATCCTGTGCAATCATTTCGTTATCATGGATGGAATCCAGTCCAGCGACTTTGACCCCTCTCATCAACGCTCGCTTTAGGGTTCATTTGGGAAATCTTCACGTATTTAGTCGATACATTTTTAAATATTTTTGTTACTTCATTTTATTGTCTTTACGGTGATCCTCTGCTTGGTTCTTCTCAGCGCCATCTTCTTTGTTTTATAACTATTGTTACAAGTGGTTGCCCAGACTTTTCTTTCATTGCTTCAGCTCTCTCAAATTTAGATTAGCTTATCTTCCACATTTTCCGCAGGCATTAGTTTTCCTATGTATTTACGTTTCGTTCCATGTCTTTGTTAGTCTAAAATAGTTACAGGGAAATGTCATGGAAAGTGAAGGCGGTGGGTATGGGGCTCGAGTGCAGAACTATGAGCCCAGCATCAATTGCCGATGCATTACTGCATGAAAGGAACCGTTTACTCCGTTTACATCTCTCTGCGAACTGGACAGAACTGATGTCATCAATGCCATGCGCTGCACTTACCGTACAGAGGAGCACGCCAGAGGACATGACTCCATATCCCTGTCTAGACTGATGGACACGAGCGTGCAGACTGAAGCTGCATGAAATTTCATTAAGGGGACAAGACCTTTCATTACCAACACAGAACAGGCGTCATTGGTCGTTTTACACTTGTGGAGCTTTTGAGGAGAAGATCGGAGCACCTATGGATCTGTCCAGAGTGCTGTGATGATAATCCTTTCTATTCACTAATCACATCTCTCCGAGCATTGGTATGCAGTCTTGTGGCTCAAACATGAGGAAGTTGGTATGAGACATGAAACAACAGCCGTACAATGAGAGAGAGAACAAAAGTGACACATTGAGAAGGTGATACAATATCACATAGAACAATAGTAATTCAATGTGACATAGAACAACAGTAAACCAATGAAACATAAAACAATAGTAATACAACTAGACACAACATCTAGCCGCTACACAACCGGGGCTCCCAACAAGACATAAGCAGATAAACGAATCACTTCAACACAAAATATGACACATGTGATACATGTTAAACAAAATATTTTACGGGCCAACATATAAAGATTTGACCCGTTTTACAATGCCAGTTATCGTCTTTATTAAACCACTTTTGCGGTGTAGGCAGAGGGATCTTGGAGCATGAGAATTTACGGCCGCATGGCTAGTGCTGTCGCCACTACTGTGCAGGTGAGGATTTTTTTGTTGTGTGCCCTGGACAGAAAAAAAATCCCCAGCCTTATCGAGGATTCGAACCTGGGTCTCCCGCTTGAGAGAAGGTCGTTCATACCGTACGACAGTTGAGAAGAGTCGAGTTAAAAAAATTAGCTGTTTTACATACGGTTTTGCATAAAAAACCACCGGTTCTGTGGCAACAGGTCACTTTCTGAATCTGCAGTTCACAAAATAAATCGCGTTGGGCACAGTCGAAAAGCACTTCAGATGACATCCACAAGCCATGATGTAGCGACATAATCTCAACTGAGTATCTGAGCGACGAAACTATATCTTTTCCGTCCATATAATGGGGAAGTTGCAACAATCACCATAAGCTTTTAAAAGAAATCACTTTCCAAAACTGAAAAGCGTCGATCTGCCTTTCCGCACTAGTCGCCCGGAAAAATCAGACCATTTAATGAAAAGTGAGTGGTTTGGTTCCAAACGTTTTTTTTTTTTCAACACAGACACGGTAGTGACGTAACATCCTGGATTATGTTACTCTCCTGCTGCAGTTAATAGTCATTAAGAATTAAAACTATTTTCTCCGAACCCAGTCATTTATTGAAAACTCTTCACAGACACACCGATGCATATTTAAACTGAGCCCTTCATTAACCAGACGACAGCAACAAACGTATAGAAATTGTTGCACTAAATAACGTATAAAATCTATTACACGAAAGATATATGGCTTTGTTGCTACATTTATAATTCATATCGTAATGGAACGATTACTTTGCTCGGTAGCATTAAGTCAACTTTTTGTCATTTGAAAATGATGATGTTGGTATTGTCAATATGATTCTGTACCATAAGAACAACTTGATGATCAAAATATAGAGCGCGGTTTCCATGACAATGTGACATCGGAACTATATTGCCAGTGACTGAGAATTGGAACCTCTCTATACTTACAGACGATAGTGTTATATTACGCTCTTAGGAAGCGTGGGACATAGCCCATGGCGATGGCGAGTGTGACTAGCAAGAACCGTGCGCGTTAAGAAAAGTCTTCGAAAATTATAACATAGGATTTAAGGATCTTTGTTGTCAACATTTGTGTTTAGTCTGTTTTTTTTTCCAGACTCTCTGATCTCATCCTTTCTGCAATCATTTCTTTCTTCATTCTCATACTCTTCCTGGTGTGGCTCTTTCAGACTACATGACCCATGGCATTTTGTTCCCTATTGTAGTAGACTTCTACCAGTCTTCAGTTCAACATAGAGGATGTCCTTGGGGACTTTGCCATCCTCCATTCTCCAGGTGTGACCAAGCCATCTGAGCCATTGTGTGGGTATTGTAGCGATGATCACCGTTTATTAAGATTTTTCTCTTACGACTATCACATACCCATGTTATGTGGACAAGTCGATTCTGTACACTTCTTATTCTAGCATATGCTATTCAGCGTTGGTAGTCAAGTCTATCTACAGCCTTCTGTCTCGTGTACTTTCAATCAGTCCTGACATAGGTGATCTTCCATGCCATGATGTCAAACTGTCCCGCATCTCCTACCTCGGTCTCTCTCTGCTGCTTCCCACCTCCAACGTTGTCATCATTACAGTGTACTTGTTTTCTGCTTCTCATGACTTGACCACAAAATATCAACGTGGGCTGTCAGTTTTTGACGTGAGTAAATTTCTTTCATTGACATCTTTATTATTCTTTTTATCTGTCTGTATTATTGTATTATTATCATTTGTTTATAAAACAACATCTGCAGCTAACTTCCATGATTCATATCCGCACATAGGGACTGGATATAAATCGTTGTTGTGAATTCTCTTATGTTCACGAACAATTTTTTTGGTATCTTGGTGTTAAATCCAACATCCACAGGCTAGCAGGAAAAACAACTTCTGTTGTAGCATACTGGTACTTGCGAAAACTACTTTTCAGCGAATGAGCTATTATAATAACTGTTTTAAAACTAATGTGCAGTAATGGCTCAGTGTTAGTTTAGCTTCTGTGCTGTCGTTAATACTGTGCTGTCAT